ATTTGTTTGACATTTGGAAAAATAATCCACACTCATGCATGTGCGCATGCGCACACGCTCATTTAAAAATTGTTCATTTGTTCTGAGGAAGGGAGAGGGGAGGCAGGGAAGGGAGGGAGGGAGGGAGGGAGAAAGAAAGGAAGGAAGGAAGGAAGGAAGGAAGGAAGGAAGGAAGGAAGAAAGAAAGAAAGAAAGAAAGAAAGAAAGAAAGAAAGAAAGAAAGAAAGAAAGAAAGAAAGAAAGAAAGAAAGAAAGAAAGAAAGAAAGAAAGAAAGAAAGAAAGAAAAAAGGACAGGACCAAGGCCAAGGCCAAGGCCAAGACCAAGACCAAGACCAGATTCTTTTGAATATTGTTCCATTAACTGGTTCAGAGTTACATGATCATTAGCAGTTTTTTAATCTCAGTTTTACCTCTGGTTTATTCCTATTCCATTAATATTTATTTACAGGTAGTCCTTGACTTACGACCATAATGGAGCCCAACCTTTCTGTTACTAAGTGAGACATTTGTTAAGTGATTTTAGCTCCATGTTATGGCCTTTCTTATAACAGTTGTTAAGGGAATCAACTGCCATTGTTAACTTAGTAACACGATTGTTAGGGAATCTGGTTGCCCCGTGACTTTGCTTATCATAAAGTCGCACAAGATGCTCGAATGACCCCAGGATACTGCAACCATCATAAATATGAGTCAGTTGTCACGAGTCTGACTTTTTATCATGTGACCATGGGGATGCTGCAACAATCATGTGTGTGAAAAATAGTCATAACTCACTTTTTTCAGTGCTGTTGTAACTTTTTAGACGATGACTAAATGAAGTGTTGTAAGTCAGATAACAGATAATCAGAGTTGGAAGAGACCTTGTATGTCATCTAGTCCAACCCCCTGCCCAAGCAGGAAACCCTACACCATTTCTGACAAATGGCAGTCCAATCTCTTCTTGAAAGTCTCAAGTGATGGCGCTCCCACAACTTCCGAGGGCAAGCTGTTCCATTGCTTGATTGTTCTCACTGTCAGAAAGTTTCTCCTTATTTCCAGGTTAAATCTCTCCTTGTTCAGTTTCCATCCATTATTCAAGGGCTAACAAGTCACTCTGGGCAGTGAACAACCATAAAACATTTAAAAACAGTTACAATTACTACAAAATTAAATATCTATGGCAGCTGTGGGGGAAAAAAGCGAACATACAGTAGATGTCACTACAGCCAGGAGACACATCCCATATTTGGGGTCCCAGATCTTTAAGGCCTTCAAGGATCAAAATCATCTCTAAATAATATCTCAAATATAAGGGATTTGCTTTCATTATCAAAATTTCTGTAACTATTCATCTCTATTTGAAAGTGAATTATTTTTCCAGTAGGACTGTAAAGGTAAAGGTAAAGGTTCCCTTCGCACATACATGCTAGTCGTTTCCGGCTCATCTCTATTACAAAGCCGTCTGAAGATGTCTCCGTGGTCATATGGCCAACATGACTAAATGCCGAAGGTGCACGGAATGCTGTTACCTTCCCACCAAGGTGATCCCTATTTTTCTACTTGCATTTTTCCATGCTTTCGAACTGCTAGGTTGGCAGAAGCTGGGACAAGTAACGGGAGCTCAATCCATTATGCGGCGCTAGGGATTCAAACCACCGAACTGCTGATCTTTCTGATCGACAAGCTCAGTGTCTTAGCCACTGAGAAGCAATAGGCTTCAAACCAGTTCTCTGTGACACATTTATCCATAGATACCCAAATGATATTTGAAATGGATTCAGTGCCCAGAAACATTTTAGTAGTGAGGGGGAAACACGATTGCCAGTCCTTTATTCTGTACTGATAAAAATTAAAATTTCAGATAATAAAACTTCCAGAATTCTTCAGAGGCATCAGTTGTAATGCTGTCTGATGGACCTCAAAAGCTGCAGAAGAGAAATAGGTAGCATTATCTCCTTCTGTCTCAGTTTCATACCTTTGCTGGCTATCTGACTTATTGCTGCAAGAAAACAGAATTCTCCTTCCCAAATAATGTATTTGAAAGGTTTTCCTTGTTGGGCAAGGAAAAACAATGTGAGTTTATTGACTTTGGAACCATTAATATCTTTTTTGCAATAGAATTTTAGTATTGAGACTTAAGTGGATTCATGGTGAAATCCTTAAATGTTCAAGGTTTTTTTGTGATGCTAACTTATTCTTCAAAACTTTTTAACTCTGTCTTTGAAGAAATGATTATTGTATGAGACATGGGTGGTTGTCAGATGAATTTTTCTGACAAATGGAAAAGTGATATTATTTCAGACATTAAAGATTGTGGTTTCTTTGGAGATATGTAAGTTATTCTTTTTTTTGGAAAAGGCAGTGTTACAACTGATGAGAAAATGAACCAACATGTTTTTCTTTGGCATAATTTTTCATGGTATTGTACAACAGTACAATATCACTTTTAAATAACTTTTTTTTTACTCTTTTCTATGTGTCAATAATATGGCATTATAAGGTACTTTCTGCAGATCATCATTCCCACTTCCCATGGAGAGAAGAGGAAGAAACTGAAGTAGGACATAGTTTTGGATCTTAGCCTGGCAGGGCCAAGCTAAAATATATGATTCATTGAAAGGGCTTTGTTAAGCACCAGGGAAATCAGGAGATTCGAGCAGTTCAAATTAGCATAAAGATTTATTGCAAGCTTAAGCTGTCTACAAAAATCTGACCTATTAACAATCAAGGGAAATGAGCGGGAATAAAAAGACATTCAATCGGGCTGAGCTTAGAACACTTGTGGGCACACAGGGACCCATGACATATGACACTCTTGACTCCTCCCTCGGACTCAGCATGTTCCTCTCCTACAGACTTCTTGCTACTGAATATTTTTGGAAGGTGAAAGATAACATTTACACACCATATCTCTTTGGCAGTTCAATTTGTAATGCCTGCATAAGACCAAGCTGCCACTAACCATGCAATGAGACATATAATCTGCTACCAGTTCTGATATGGAAGGGCAGTAAATGTTATTTGAGGGGGAATATAGTTGTATGATTAATGAGAGGTAGGTATTATTCCACCCAAAGATTATGAAAGGAAGAATTTTAAATTGGGGGTGACAAAGTAGAAGAATTGAAAATAGTTTCCTTTCTACTATCTGTTGTCATGAAAGAGCAGGGATGAAACTGGGGAGATTCTTACCAGTTTGAACCAAAGAAAAAATGGAAATCCCTCCCCCTTGCTATCTTCAGTTTGGTGGACAGACATAAAAAGATGAAGGTATTACCAAGAATAAATGGAAATGGAAGAGGAGCCACTTATGTCCTGAAGCAGGAAGAGTGAAAAGCACTTAATAACAGCAAGTTGAGAGATGAAAAGGAGAAAATAGAAAAGGAGGTGTGCTAGAGCTGAATCTGGCAAGGCAGCAATGGAGAGGCATTATGTCAACATAGTTGAACTACTTCCCACAACCATAAAGAAAGGGACCAAACATCTGTTAACTTAGAAAGGCAGAAGGAAAAGTCTTATTCTTAAGACTTTGAAGCACAGACCTTATGTAAAAGCTTGCCTTATTTCTTCCACAAATGGTAAACCATCTGTTGTCTCTGAGTCTTCCTCCTTGTCTGTGGCAATGAAACATGGCTTCCATTCATTGAAATCCATGAATATATGGCCTAGGTGCTTTTATTCCTTTTCAATTTTCTTTTCTTTCTTCTTTAAAATTTCATACGCTGTCCTTTCTCTCACTTTGTTTTTGTAATCCATCCATAACAATGTTAATGTAGTTGAATAACATTGAGAGTAATTGCTGAATAAAGTTTTAAGTGTCTGGAAAGCTGAGATTTACTGATGTTAAGTTGTCTAGGAAGGTTGCTAAAGAGTGCTGTTATTCCAGTCTTCTTCTGTCTAGTACAATTTACTAACATGTCCCATTTTCAAGTCCTTGTGTTTACTAGTTTCACTTGTTCCAACAAATCATATGAAAGGTTGGATTCATTTATCCTGGGACTGCTTCATGCCATTTCTTTCCTCCTCAAACATAGCAATATTACATATGTAGGGATTTTCTAAATGAAAGTAGTATTATTACACTCTTATTTTACAGTACATTTATTCAGTGTCCTTCAGAGATAGTTTGATCCTCACATTCTATGTCGTATTATTACCTTCTGCTAATATGAACTGAATGTGACAGATAAAACAAAACATGATTTACCAAGACATAAGAACAATGAAATTCTTCAAATATATAACACCAAAAAATGGAATTCCTTTCCTAGAAACAGAGACTGCTCAATCATTCAAAGGATGGGGAGATGAATCAATCTTTTTTTAAAAAAAATCTTCAGGACAAATATTAGAATTAAAAATGAACCACCAGAATACCCAGTGTTCTAAATTATTTTTTCCAGTACTATTCATTAATGCAAATAGGCACATAGTTCCCTAGGGTACACTGATTAGACCATGCTCCACCTCATTATCTACGGATAATCAAGAAATGTACAAATGATACAGTGCATGGTTTACATATCTGGAGGAAGTCTTCACTTATGCCATATGGCTCTCAATTAGCACCAACTGAAAAACCAACTTTTTTCTTTGTTAAAATAAATAGGATTATCACAAACCATGTAAAAGACATAATCATATTGCCAAAAATAATATATTTCAAATAAGTAGAACAGCAAACAAAACAAATTACACAATTATTCTCCTACTCAACAGAGATGTTGCATTCACTTTATGTAAATGGCAATCTTCAACTAAGAGCCATATAATTTTCTCTTTGTAGCAATGGCATCTACCTTTTCATCATATCTGCTATTGCACTGAGTGCTAAATAGCCTTCTCTAAATGCTTGATAAATTGTCATTTCTTTTTCTTTCAGAGTTCCTCCGAGACTTAAAGAAACGAAAAAACACATTAAGGAACAAAGAAGGGATGTGATTGGCCTCAGCACAGAGAACTAGCTCGCATTTGAGGTTGGGAGAAAATCATCACTTCAGCATCATTTTGCACTGCCATCATGAGAACTTATCATTGCTTCTGGTTCCTGTTTTGGTTTGGTCCTCTTCACCAAAGTTATTCTATATCATTGTCCAAAAAAACTACTGGTTTTCCAGAAAACCCAAATGTTTTGGATTTATCTCAAAACAGCAGAAAGGAGCTTAGTCGTTCCAAAAGGAGCTGGATGTGGAATCAGTTCTTCCTTCTGGAGGAATACACAGGCTCTGATTATCAGTACGTCGGCAAGGTAGGATATTTTATTTCTTTCCTAACAGGGAAAGGAGCATGGGATATTATGCCATCACATCAGCTGTCTTTAATCAATGTCTCTCGGGGTAGAGATACCTCTTCTGAGAGTACTATGGGGATTATCCAAGAGCTTAGCTAACACCTTGAAAAAAATGAAAGAAATCGTGATATTTACATAAACAACCATACATGTTTAGAATAAAATCTGCAATTTGATTGTTAAAAAAACATTTCAGAAATTATACATTGCTGAGTTCCAGCATAGGAGATTAAAACTTGTCCTTTTAATTTCAGCAGAAGGATATTAACTTAATATTTAAGGACCTATTAAAATTTATCTTAGTAGAACTTCTTCCTTCATGAAGATACATGTAAATATTCTTGCTTTTACACACAAGCAAATCAGAAATGCATGTAAGGTTGCCACCATTGATTGTTAAATTAACTACTTGTAAATCTGGGGAAAGTTGTTGGAAGCTTAATTTTTCCCCCATTACTGATGTATTTTCTAGAGACATCCAAATATCATTGAGCTAAAAGAAAAGTAAAATAACAAATTTCATTCACCAACCTTTGCAGGAGAGCAAAGAGGGTTAAGTGATCACATGTGTCAAAATGTCACAAAGAAAACCATATAGCTTACATGCTTATATCTAATACCAGCATGCAAATATAAAAAGAGATAGTTTGCTTTAGGGTGATGTGATGATGATTGGGGTGTTTTTTTTCATTTTTGGGTTATTACAACTGATTCTACATGCCTATGATTTCATATTGCTTCAGTGATGGCTGGGTAATGCCCCGAACATACTAAAGGCCATTGGTGAGGAAACAGTCCTAGAAAATATGAAGTTTGTATATATTGGCATGTTTTGGGATCTGACTATCATATCTGGTAACATTAATTTTTGGTTGAACTTTCTTGACTTCAGTTTCAGAGTTGCTTTTTGATCCTGTTTGTTAATTTTCAAATTCTGCTGAAATCTTGAGGAACTTAGGAAAGCTGGGTATGGATGTTACTTACCAAATTTTCCTAGTTTAAAATGGGCATCTCTCCAGTATCTTCTGTTCTGGTACTTTATAGACAGAATGGGACAACTTGCTGCAGCCCACTCACCATAGACAAGTCACCACAGGACAACTCGCTGCAAAAGAATTCAAGAATTCAATTTAATTATTTAAAATCATTTTAAAGAATATTTTAATTTTTGCCATTCACGTGTCATTTTTGTCATTTTGTCCTTTCTTTTGCATCCTTTCTTTAATTATTCTATTCCACCATTTCTTAAACATTAGTGTAACTCTTGTCTCATGGTGAGTTGTACACCTGCAAGTTGTCTTGCAGTGTGTTGTCCCATGATGTCTTGGCCATGGTAAGTTGGCTGTAGGAAGTTGGCTGTGATAAGTTGTCCTAGACCCCTTTGTAAAAGTATTCATTAACTCCAAGCAAGCCACCTGTAGGAAGTATCTGTTTTTGATTATGTTGTATGAATTATTTTGTTCTGAAATAATTAACACAGACACTGACTATTATTACTCTTGTTAACTGGGTTCATGAAGGTTTTTTTATGGTGAATATTCAGAAATGTTTCTATCGAAAGACAACTGTATTAGCTTGTTGTCTCCATATTTTTCATTTATTATGTGAAAAATAACAAAGATCGCAAGCAGAGGTTTCTGGATTTATGTGTCCCTTTAGCTAGAATGAATGAAAATGTCTTGGAGGCAAAAGTCAGAATATTTCTCAAGACATTGTTAGAAGGCTTTGCATTGTTGGGATCATGTTTTGCATCACAATATTGCAGTACAGAAGGCAGGTGGGAAAAATCCCATATCCTGTGGCTTCTCCAATTTGGGGCTAGTTAATTTGATAAATCATAATTTTCCTGCTTGTTTGGGAGCTCATTATATAATAAGAGCTAACTGCTTCAGCAAGTTTGTGACAGAACCTCAAAAGAAGCATTGCTTCCTTTACCAAAATGTACAGGTTTTTTAAAATGGATTGGGCAATATGGTCTAGATAGGATCCTCCTTTGTCTCCCAAAAAGAATCAGAAGGTGGTCCTGCAAATGCTAACATGTCCATCAAAACCTTAATAATAATTAAAAATGATCGTTTTTATCTAATGTGTCTCTTTGGACAAAGATCTTAAAACAGTTCATCATTTTGTTTCCACAATGATTGCAATTCAAAAGGCTTAATTATACTCATAAAATTACAAGGAAACCTTGTTAATTAAAATATGGATAATAAAATCCAAGACTGGGTTGAGAAGCAAAGCAAGGAAATGGCATAAGTGTAAAGCTAGAAACAGATACAAGTTATGTAAGTGTTATTAATGCCATGGCCATCGGCCCTTCACAGTTGGCCTTTTATGTGTTTTTGGGTGCCTGAGCAATTCATGTCTTGGTAATTGAACAGTTAGCCATGAGGCATGAATGGGAAATACATGAAATATGAAGACTAAATGTAAGCGCCCCATGATCTAGAGTAAAGTCCATACAAATGCATATTTTAGTGAATAGCTAAATCTGCGAGGAGCTTATACTGTTTATGATTACAGCTACTTTTAATCTAAGAGGTTATCTGAAGAGTTTCCTTTAAGTTAGAAACAGCCTTTGTAAGATCTCTTAGTTAATGCCCAGATGAGATTACTGTAGCCCCTGCTGGACTAATGTGTTATGTGGGAATGAATATGCAATTGAGATCTTCTAACTAAAGAGTGTTTTAAAATAATAAATTCCAAATATGAAAGAAGTAGAACAGGGGTGTCAAACTCACGGCATCATGTTATCGTCACATGATGTACCATGACTTTCCCCCCCTTCGCTAAACTGGGGTGGGGGTGGCCAGTGCGTGATGCATGTGGCTCATGGGCCACAAGCTTGATACCTCTGAAGTAGAAAGAAGAGAAGCTTACCCTCCTTAGTATTTAGTGGGAAAAATTCAAAGGAAAAAGAAAATGAGAAATTTTTCCACATGTAAAAACAAATTGTAGATCAGGGGGAGGTGCTAGATATTTGATGGCAGACAGACCTCTCAGGAATTTGCAGATGGAAAGAAAATAAGAGGAGGGAGGTGTCTTACTGCTTCCCAGTGCTGTTTGTGTGAGTCACCGTAGCTCTTTGGAATTCTGAACCTACAATCCATTGTTGCTGGGGTTCTCACCAGTGGTGGGATTCAAAAACTTTTACTACCAGTTCTGTGGGTGTGGCTAGGTGAGTGTGATCATGTGACTGGGTGGGTGTGGCTTTTTTTGCAGCCCTCCACCCGTTTTGGGGAGCTTCTTAGCCACAGAGGAGCCTCTGGGGGTGTTTTTGCTCCCCTAAGGCTCCTTTGGGGCTCAGGAAGAAAAGGGAACAGAGCATGGGAGAGGCGCACAGCACCCCTCCAAGCTCTGTTTTGGGAGCTTCCTAGCATCAGAGAAGCCTCGGGGGGGGGGGTGTTTTTGCTCCCCTAAGGCTCCTCTGGGCCTCTGGAAGGCAAAAAATGGAGCTCCTCCCTCCATTTTTTGCCTTTCTGGGCCTCAGCAAGGGGAATCCCGGCACAGCTGATCTTATCTACAGCTGATTATCGGGAGGGAAAAAAAGAAAGAAATACCTTGGGCAAATGTCAGGCAGGTGGGCGGGGTGAGCGAGCATCGGGCGGGAGGGTGACTGGGTGGGGAGCGCGGCCAGCCAGAACTTACTACTGGTTCGACGACCCACACCAAATTCTTGCTACTGGTTTGCCCGATCGGGTGCGAACCAGCTGAATACCACCACTGGGTCTCACACTTGTTGAGTGAGTCACAGCTGAAAACTCTTTGAAGGAGACCAGGTCAGGAAACAGATGCTGCAAGGATTCCAGGAATGCTACTTTGCTGTTGTAGGTATGATAACAGGATTTTGAAAGCCCTGTCAGAATTGAAAATTTCACTGCATTCTGTGCCTGTTGGGAAAGCCAATTTGAATCCAACTCTTGGTTCAGAAAGAATCTTTCTAAAAGAAGGAAATGCAGGCTATAACCGTAAAGACAGAAGTGCTGGCTTGACTTCTTCCAATAAGCCTTGTGTCTCCCTGCTGCTTTATCAAGTCCCCTCATTCAAAACAACGACTTGGGAAAGGTTCTTCTCCAGGGGTGATATTCTACTGGTTCGGCCCGGTTTGCCTGAACCGGTAGCTCTAAGGATCATCTGTGAGCAAACTGGTTAGCTCCAATGATCACTTGCTGGGCCCACCTGCCCCACTCTATTCTAACCTTTATTTCCTGGTTTTCAAGCTCAGCTGCTTTGCGTGACACAGCGGATTGCCGTACATCTGTTTAACACACAAGGAGAGTGCAGGATTTCAGGAGAAGGTCAGTAGCAAACCCTCTGCGTGCATGAGAAGTGTGTGTTTGGCACGCACTCACCAAACCGATTGTTACACTGGTTAAATCACACCCCTGGTCTTCTCCCTTAAATCTTTAACACTCAGACACATTTTTCTGTGCAAAGTCTTTTCACTCATTAAAGCTTAGTACTCATTAAAGCTAAGTACTTTCTAACTCTCTCCCAGGTGAAAATACCAATCTCTTCACCTGCTATCCAATTCATAGCCAGCCATAAATTTTGCTTGTCAGGCTGGGTGGCTGGCTGGTTTTTTGTTTTTGGCATTCATGGCTAGCAAAGAGAAAAATCATAGAACCCTTATTTTTAAAATTTTGGTATTCTGTGCATCTCTTTTTTCCCCCTAGCCTTCTCTCTCTCCCCCCCCCCCCCCCCCAATAGATACACCCACTTGATTTCTCTGCTTTTCCATCCTCAGGTTACTGACATGAATAAAAAAATTCACTGTACCATCAATCCATAACAATGTCACAAAATCATAGGTAGCTACAATGTTTGTGGATATGAAGATAGGGGAAAAGATTTCATAAAGAACCTAAACATTTGATTTTGTATTCACAAAATCAAACACAGAGCCTCAGACGTAGAAGAGGAACATAAAAACAGAAGTTGGAAAATGGATCAAACCT